AAATAGTGTCATTGGTGGGTGTCTTTTGGAGGGGGGGGGGGGGGCCAAAGAACCCTCTGGTTGGGGTTGGGCCCCCAAAGACCCCCCCCCCCCCCCCCCCATGATGCCAACCATGCTAGTACTGTGACCCCCAACAATGGGAGGAGAAATTAGACCGGTTATTATTGTTGAACTAAAGGAAGAGAGAGAAATGTATTTCTACATACTATTGTCATTCATCATTACCACATTAATATTACTAAATTATTAGAATTTATATATATTATTGCAATACATTACTTTGAAAAGGGAGAATATTATTATTCATCTAAGGTAATAGACTGCTGCCAATGTATGATGTCCTTCTGATGTATGATGCGTAGCAATCGGCTTTGAATCTCTCCCCTGGACTTTCATTTTGTCACTCATTAAATAATAAAGGACACCATCCATACTCAATCAGTTTAATACTTCTGGTGTTTCTGGCGTTTTCAGACTAATTTTATTATTAGCAGATCTAGCTTAAGAAATATTTTAAGACTTTAAATTTGTGGCTGGTCACTCACAAATCTTCGTGAATGCTAATTACCATTACTTTTTAAAGCAGAGTTAACAGTGCTCACCTAAAATACTTGCCATCTTAGATTATTACATTTTTTGCTTTGGATTTTGACCAAAAAAAAGAGATCTGCTTAAGTCCTTGAGGGAATTTAAAGCCCTGAACATGGAGTTACGGGAGGCAATTACGTTTGGAATGGGATTTCTGGAGATTTGGGAGGGTCGTTGCTCCATAATGAACTGTGAGGTTTGCTGCTGTGCGTATCCATATGTAACGTGCGGTAGATGCCTTATTCCTGCTTGGTGCCGCCGTGTGGGCTGCGTGTGTATAGGAGGATACTCAATCTGCGTTTGTGCTTAACCCATCCACAGTCCTTAGCAAACTTAACGTCTGCGACAGCTGGCGCGGACCCTTTCTATTGCAGTCTTGGCTTTTTCTGCCGGGAAAATGAGGCTGAAACCCGGCTGTTTCCAGGTGCAAACCGCATCTGATGGCGATCGGTTCCTCCTCTCGCTGTTAGACGGCGGCCATCCCAATGCAGCACTTCACTCGGTTGCGGTAAGAAACGACAGGGTTTTATTAAAAGGCGCTACCTGGTCCGTTTTGATCCGAATATTTCACTACAGTACGAATTCGATGGATCTTGTGTCGCTTCGCTTTGGTGTAGCGGTGTTATGTTCGGTTACGTAACAATAGATGCGGTCCCATCTACTTTGGATTCACAAAAAGGAAACAGTTAAACATGTATTTAAATGTTGTTTAGTGGAATATGAAATTCATTTCATCGGCGTCGCAAAACAGTTAGCAATGACGCCGTGCGTCAGATACCTTAAAAGCGAAAAATGAACTTAAAACTTATATGCAAACTGGCTTTGCTCTGCTCCAACTAAATATGTTAATTAATTCGTTTTATATACTAATTTGTAAATAAATCATTTGACAGATTGGTATATTAATTGTTTGTTTTGGTGTAACCGGATTTCATCACTGAGCAGTATTACATGTATAGGTAGCACAACAACGTCAGACATATCCCGGAAGGCAGTACTCTCATCTTTGCCATGGTGGCCATAACGGGAATCTTTCTGGACTGCAGTGCATGACTGTGAAAGTGTCACTGGCCTTGAGAATCATCCACGAGTGAAAGTGCACTGTTAGACCAAGGGTATAGTACGGCATATTATCTCGATTCAAAGGGCAAAGCTGATTTGCGTCACACAAGAGCGCGTTTATGTCGTGTATAGAATAGAAAATAAAATGAATGCACCGAGCTTGAAGCTCAAAACAGTGTTGTTCTGTCTTACTTTTTATTCATGTCGGCATAAGAGTAGCCTATGTCCTTTTTATTTTGCTTTAACTCCATTAACATGATGCATGTTGTCTTTGTAGGTTATTTGTATCCCTACTGTTTTATATTTATATACAGGTAGGAAAATCCCTTGTTAGCTATATAATTCGCATGGAATTGTGAGATTTTTTCCAAGGGTTTGCTTGAGGAAGACACTTAACGGTTCATTTGCCTGGGGGGTGATGCATTAGCCTGTTAGATGTGCATGAATCAGCGTTGCTCTGGCGTTGCTTTCTGATATCACACACTGCAATGACAGTGCCTAGTAACTGCAGAGAGCACACCAGGAACGGCCTCTGCGATTGCATACATGCAGGAGAAATTGGAAACAGCTTGCTTCAGCCTAATGGATGCACGGTCCGAATAACAATCATTAAGCAAGTTACTGCCCTGGTGCACTGTGGGCCATCATCGCCCGGCTTGTCAAAGTACCGCTATTTTTATATTTTGTACCATCTTCTGATGGTTATGAATGAATTGCAGCGTGTCTGGCATGCAGCAGCGGCGGACGTCTGGCTGTGTGTGTCACTCGGAGAATACCTATTCTAGGCTTACAACCTGGAATATTATTGTTGTTTTCATTGTATTTCTGTCAACTGATTTTTGTTCCCACGTTTTACGAATTAACTGTAGGCCTAAGTGACTCGCATCTCTTTCTAACATTAGATTTTAGAGGCTTCGCCAGTTCTTTACCTAGGCAATTTATTTAGATGAGCAATGATTTTTTTTTTAGACTAAGTGCATTTTAAATATATACAGATAGGCCTATGTCTGTATAAATCTGGTTTACCGTATAATTCTAATTCTAATCTACGTAGAGTCAGGTCACGATGATGCCAAACACAAAGTCTTTTTAATACCTGCTTACACATCATAACCGGGGTCCACACAGTTGCAATTTTGACGGACATTGTGATCAACATGCATTTTTTTCCTCACGGACATGGTATTTAAAACGTACCCTACATCACAGATACGAGCAAGTCTTTCCACGGACACGTTTCTCCGCATACATAGAGTTTAAAGATTATAAAGCCGCCCTCCGCTCAAGTAGTAGCGTTATCAGCAGCACTGAATCACTTTGCCCGCATCTGGAATACTACCAACAGTCGCTCGAGTAAGTGCGAGCAGCATGGAGGAGCGCTGTGATGTGGAAATAAATACCGTTTCCTAGGAAACCGGAGCCTAGATGGCGAAATCATCAACCACCATTTTCCAGACGAGAGATGTGCAACGTGCCTTCTCCTCCCGTTATTTAAACGTCAAGTTAAGCGCTCAGCCAAAAGGGAGAAAAAGGTAACACAACTTGAATCGTTCAGTCCGGTGCACCTGTTAGTGTATTGCATTTACAATTACGATGCTCGTGCTGTATGTTTTGATGTCAAAACATACAGACCGCGTGTATTTGAGAGTCATTCGCACGTCTTGATGAGAAATTTAGATTGAAGTCACGTAGATTAAACGCGTAGATTAAACACGTTTAAACGAGTTTATCTTTTGAGAAGATCACTGTGCACGCATGTTCACTTTCCTGTAACATTTTTAGGCAACAAAGATTTGTCTTATAAATCCAAAGACGACCCTGCCTTTCCATATGTTCGTGGGTCTAGCGTGCAGAACTTGTGAGAGTTCGTCTTATGTTGATAAAGCGGTGATTAGGCTGTTTAGTCACGTCGTTCGAAATGTTTTCCGACCCAGTTGAAAAGGGCGGCAGATGAGAGCAGTTTGCGAAGCCGCCCATTGGACCGACGTGACAGCGGATCTCCTTCGGCTGGTGACTGAACGATCGGTGTCTTGATTTGCGTCCTTGCATGTTTGCGGTCCTCTGATGCTCACTCCATCGTCCTTTGGATCGGTTCAAAAAGAAGTAACATTAGAAACGTTAGAGATTTGTAGCTGTTTGTAGTCACAAGTTATACATAAAAACTGTAGGAAAACTGTAGCTGTGATATAGACAGCTGCATAGAATTAGAATAGGGGGGAGAAAGTATTTATGCAATATAAAAGTATATATGTATAGGCCTAAATATGTGATAAATACATATATGAATATAGCTGGGTAGTTCCAGGAAGAAGGGGCTTGCGGAACGGGGTTGCAGGCGCCAGTTGTGCGCGCGCTGGTTAGTACGATCTTCCCCTCCCTCTATATTAGTGTTTTTTTTATTGTTGTTTTGCTGGCGCTTCTCTCTTCCGGATGAAACTGCAACATGACCCACGGCGGCAGGTAACACGCCGATCAGGGAAATGTTTCCTCAGCCCGTTCCGGCTCCGTGTACGGAAGGGTGGGTGGGTGTCCTTGTGGAGGGCGTAAGGGCAGCCGGGAACCGTAGGGGGGAGACGCCACAGCCGCACGTCTGCCTCTCCTGCCTGGATGTTTTGCTTTCGGTTTTGCTCCTTTTTTACCAGCGACTGAGGCTGGAGGGAAACCTGCCGCTATTGTGTAACAGGTCGAAGCGATATTATGTATTTTGTAGACACTGAGATACTTTTAAATCACAAACTTGTCGCTGACAAACTTCCGTCTTGTTGATGTTTGGAACGTAGTGGAACATCGAAGTCGATGTATCGGAAACGCATCTTTAAGAATGTTGGCAATTGAGTTGTCACAGTGAAATTGCTATTTAATAATGTCATGTACTGTCTGTACTTTAACAAATATAGCCTATATATAAACACAGTTTGGTTGATTTATTGACGCATTGAATCCCTTCGATGAGTAGTATTGCTTGTACCTGTTTACGTGCCGTTATACTTTGTACTTTGTGGAGGAGAGGAAACCAGCTCGGAAATGGTGGCCGAGTGCTGCAGGAGCCGGTACCGGATTGGAACCGAAGCATGGTTTCTGAAGGCTGGCAGCAAGTTGGCAATGTTGCCGTTTGGGGCTGTTTGTAGTTGTAGGACCGTCACCTGCGGATTAAACCTGATACCGGCCACTGTCGACAGCCAGTGGGGGGAGGCAATAAACCAAGCGTGTCCAGGTTGGCGCATGGGGAAGGGGGGTGGTAGTGATATTCGCCTAATCCTAGTGGTTGAAGTCCAGCCTGGCAGCTGGCGGCCAGTAAAAGGTAGAGGAGCCAGGTTACAGCAGGTGGAAAACAATCCAAAAGGGGGGCGTTAGTGATACAGGGGGGAAGCTGCCTTTAGTTTTGGCCAAGAGCTGGATTCTGATATCTTTATCTGTGGCAAAACCTCCTGTTCCCTGTTGTGCTGTAGTTTGTGATTGTTGCCCGGCTGTCCAGAGTAACACCCAGCTTCTGGGAGACTGAGAACGACTCACGTGGAGATAGAGAGCTCTTCTCATAACATGGAGTCCTTGAGCCAAATCTGTCCTGTAATGTATTATATTCCTGTAAAACGCAAGAGTGCAAGGCTTCGTTATTGACAGTCAACACGGCAGCGTTTCCTGTTTCATGGCTGCCCTGTCAGCTGTTGCTGTGTCCGTCTGTAACGCCACACTTCGAAATAGTGCTGTCCCAAACGATTATTTTTTAAACGATTAATCTAGCGATTATTTTTTTTATTTATTTGACTAATCTAACAACTAATTTTTCAATTGATCTGATGATAAATTTATTGATAAGTAATTATTTTCGAGTCATTTAATATAACAATTCACCATCTCCCCCACGCACACAACCTAAAATTCTCATTAACATTTCAATTTATTAAAACATTTCTTAAACATTAGAGCATTATTAACAAAAAAGGTAAATCTTAAGACATTCAACAGGATTTCTATGTTAGATTGAAGTTAATAATCACTGCAATAGTTTTTACTTAATTATTTCAGTACACCAGTTTGACTTTAATGTTGAAATATATGCTAAAACATGGAATGAATTCATAACTAGATAAACATGTTTTTAACAAACACTAGCAAAGGTAGCTAGGTATAGTTAAGCTTACTTAAGTGAGCAAGGAAAGATTTAGGCTACAGTGTGTAAGAGTATTCATAAACGATAACTTGTCTCACTCTTACATGACAGAATAAGTAAACAGAAATTATAAAACGTTAACGTCAGCTACAGCAGAGGTGCATTAAAGGTGTCATGACTGAAGTATTCCCAAACTTTGGAAGACCGCGTGCGAGCCTTTTTGCCGCGTGTTTCTCCAGAGGCTCCGGAGCCTCGTGCGTGGGGGGCGGGGCGGGGCGGGCGGCAAATTTACTTTTTGCAGGGTGGTAGGAGATGTCTCATTAATATTTATGAGAGAAGTGCTACATGATTGGCCAGTGCATGCCTTACGAAATAGTGCGGCACTGCTGGCACCGGCGATATTAGACAAAACTATATCGGAGTTCAGTCTATAACTGATATAGTTTTAACGGTGCCAGCAGTGAAACAACTAGCTAGCTTATTAGCGGAATAACTTTGTATTGTAAATGAAAACCATGCCGCAGGTCTAATAAATAAAATATTGTCATCAGGTGGACAGTAAATTTCAGTTATTAGCAGATTAGCGATTACGTCGAATAATTGTCCCAGCCCTACTTCGAAATATTGGTATGAAGCTGCAAGGAGTAGAACAGGATGTCAAGCAGAAAGGCTGGTGTGTGACCCTGCAAGGTAGGGCTCTGTGCCTGTGGTCAGAAGGTCACTGGTTCATGCTGGCAGTGTGATGTCACTGCTGATGTATCTGCTGCGCCCGTGAACAAGGCCCTCACTCCCAGTTGCTCCAGAGTGCACTGATCCAGGGACTGGCTTTTGTTTTAGAAAAACACACCTACTAGAACGCACCTAAATGTAATGGAAAAGATTAATTTATGCTCTCATTTGAAAGAGTCTAAAATATAGACAGGGAGGATCGGGGGGCTCAGTGGGTGGTACTGTTGCCTCACGCCTCCAGGTTGGGGTCATTTCCTACCCCTGGCTCTGTGAGTTTAAAGTCTGCATGATCATGTGACTTCCCTTTCAGTCCTGCAAAGATGAGTGGTTCAGGTGAGTCCGTGTGTCTGAAATGGCCAGAGAATCGGAATATTCGCCCCGTGATGGACTTTGCTGTCAGGGATAAGCTATATGCAGACTCACCAAGACCCTGCACTGGAAGCTGGAGGGAAGAAGCACTCACCGAGCCGTTTAAATTCAGGAATTGTTTTGGAAAGTTTAAAGCAGTTATCGGCAAAGCCTAACACTTATACAGTATATGCTGCATAATGAGTGTTGCGCCCTTGTGATGTTGTGGGAGCGCATGGTGAAATGTGAGTGTGAATCTTCTGCTGAGAATAGGTCCCCCCATCTAACTCCTGCTGGTATGGAAATTACTCCATGGTGGGGGGGGGTGCACCAGTTTGGGGAAGCTTCAGCACAGGCTTTGGTCTCCTCCGCAGATATGTGTGCTGTTTGCAGGAACCTCCTTAATCTCTTCTGGTAGTTCAGGTAAACCATTCAGTGCTGGGTGTTTCAGGGTGCACTGATCTACCATGTTTTGTAAACCCGCCTCCCCCCCCCCCCCCCCCACCCCTCACAGGTCCCAGTTGATGGATTTTGACATGGACTATGAGCGGCCAAACGTTGAGACCATCAAGTGCGTGGTGGTTGGGGACAATGCGGTGGGGAAGACGCGGTTGATCTGCGCCCGTGCCTGCAATGCCACGCTCACACAGTACCAGCTGCTTGCCACTCACGTGCCCACCGTCTGGGCCATCGACCAATACCGCGTCTGCCAGGAGGTGAGCTGTGCTGAGCCACGCCCTTCTGGCACGTGGGCCGTTCCCTCCCCGGTGTCTCTGATGGCTGGGGAGCTCCACGGGGGGGGGGGGGGGGGCAATGACATCAAACGATTAAACCTTATCAGCTGCGTGTAAGACTTTAAAATAATAAAACACGGCCGGCTGCACTGTAATGATCATCTCTCAGCCACAACCAGTATAAAGAGCAACACTACAATAACAGAACAAGAGAGATTTAAAATGTATTACATTTGCACAACGCAAATTAACCTGTTAGTATCAGGTATTTTTCCAGAATTTTCACCTAAATTTACGACTATAAGCTCCTAAGGTTTTACAGATCTAAGGTTCTAAGGCTTCAATTCTAATATTTATTGTTAAAAACTGCATGTAATACTTGCTAACTAACAGAGTGGTAAGTCGCAGAGAAGGTCCATCCTTCTGGAAAATCATTCTCAGGTATAAAGGGGTAATTCACACCAAAACTAAAAAAGATACGTTTTAGAGGGACATTAGTTCTGTCCATCTGCTGGGAGGAGATATCAGCCGTAGAAATGTCAGTCTTCACTGGAATATAATGTGACTGAATTACATTCTTCCTGTGGCGATTAAAGTGCCAGAAAACGCATTAATAAGATTCAACAGCAGCGTCTCTGACCAGAAATCATGACCCGGTTACTGAAGATAATGCGCAGACTTTGTAGCGAGCAGTTTAATGTAGCAGCTATTATCTTCTACCGAACTGCACACACCAGTCACATCACTGCGCAGGAGATATCGCGGGGGTACTCCTGCTCGTATCTTCTGTGCAGTGACATGATTGGGGTGTGGGGAGTTCCCTAGAGGAGGAATAGTTCTGTGTTTTTGGTGCTTTAATCACCACAGAAAGAATGCCATTCAGTCCCACTATATTCGAGAGAAGCCTGACATTTCTGCCACTGATATCTTCAAAACTAGGCAGCTCCCAGCAGAACAACCTAGAAGGATGGATAGCACTATTGCTCCCCTAAAACACATCTTTTTCAATTTTTGGGTGTACTGCCCCTTTAAAAATCTGGGGGGGGGGTTACAGATCCATGCAGTTAAAAATAAGGAATGTTTCATGGGATGAGTCAGAGTGAGCCTGAACTAGGTCTGTAAATGAAGGTTTCTGGATTCTGGTGAGTTTTGCTATGTTTGTTGTCATCACAGTCTTCTTGCTCTAGCTCAGGGTTCTTCAACTCTGGACCTCGATTCCAAATCCAGGCTGTGTTTTCAGTTCTCCCAGGTAGTTGTTTAATAATTACTGATTCTGATTGGTCAGAGACTTCACACCTGACTGACAGGTAAAGGAAGGCTGGAAAACCAGCAGTGCTCGGACCTCGAGGACTGGGAGTTGAATAACCCTGCTCTAGCTGCTTAAAGTGAGCCAGGAAGCCCCCTGAGACACTCACGGTGTTTCAGTCTAGTATCATGGCTGCTCCGTGCCTGTGAAGCCTAACGGCGTCTCTATCTGCCCAGCTCTGTAATCGTAACGTACTAGTGAAGGATCAGAGTTATGGAGGCTTTCTTTACATCTCAATGGTGGAATGTGTTCCAGGTTTTGGAGCGCTCTAGAGATGTGGTGGACGACGTCAGCGTTTCCCTGCGCCTCTGGGACACCTTCGGGGATCACCACAAGGACCGGCGCTTCGCCTACGGAAGGTGTGGCTGATGCGCACGTCTCGGGACGCTGCAGGTTAGACCCCCACCAGAGACCATGGCTTAGACGCGGCTCTTCTGCCCTCTTCAGGTCGGACGTGGTGGTGCTCTGCTTCTCCATCGCCAACCCCAACTCCCTGCACCATGTGAGGACCATGTGGTACCCAGAGATCAAGCATTTCTGCCCACGTGCTCCCGTCATTCTGGTCGGGTGCCAGCTGGACCTGCGCTATGCTGACCTTGAGGCCGTAAACAGAGCACGGCGCCCCCTAGCCAGGTGGGCTGCCAGCACCTCCCACTTCAGACTCACGTTATCATGCCTTATAGTCGTACTCATCTGGTGGTCGTCCCAGGGTCGCTTGGGTCTGGGGTATTCAACTTTCCCCAGGTGACCAGTCCAGTGGCCTGTACTACAAAGCGGGGTTACTTGTCGGATTTAAGGTACCACAGTTTAAATGGACTTCATATTCGTTCACTTACATTTTGCCCAGACTACCTTAAATCCGACAAGTCACCCCGATAAGCCAGTAACCCCGTTTCGTAGTACAGCCCCCTGAGCTAGAATCCCCCTCCCAATAATATATGATTACATCTAGAGCCTGACCAATACAGGATTTTCTATATTTGAGCATTTAAAAATGTGATAACAATATATAGGGCAATATTCATTTTTTCCCCCAGAAACACACAGCATAAAGATTTTCCTTAATGTTTGTTATGTGTAGTTATTTAGAAGTCCTCACCAAGATAACAACATAATGCAGATTAAAAACAAACTTGTTTTATTTTTGAATAAAAGTACAGCAAAATATATTAAAGTTTTGATAAATAAGGGTATGTTACAAGTACTTGTGTTGCTGATGGGAGTTACAGTGTGTCCCCCTGGTGGACAAACTACGCAACGACAACAGTCATATCATGATTGAAGGTCTTCCATCTCTCTGGTTCTTTTTGTCATTTACAGTATCTGCTGATACGGATTTATCTGCAGTTAGCTCATATTGGTTGATAATATCGGCGTGCCAGTTTATTATTGGTCAGGCTCTAATCTCTTGTGTGTATCATAAATTGGATGAAAATACTGACATTTTCAATTCTGATATGCCTCTGTTGCCCCCGTTAGCTGCCTCGCAGCCTTCTGGCTGAATTTCCCCTGATGTAGGTAAAGATACTTTAAACAGTAGAAAGAAAAGTTGTTTATACTGAGTATGGCTGATATCCAGAGTTCATGAAGGCTGAGAAATGTATGTATTCTTTATGCATAAATTGTGAAATGCAGTATTATTATGGATTTCTTTGTTTCTGATTCACAGTAATAATCAGATTCAGAATCTGGCCAAGTATGTTCAGACATACAGGGAATTTGTTTCTGGTTGTCAGTTCTCACATAAATACAGTAGGTACAGACACAGTTAAGACAAGACAATACGTACTACTTAACGTACAAGTGCAATTTTGTTGATGTACACAGTTCAACTGTACTATAAATAACTTTAGTTTTAAAGTTGTAACATTGAATGACATGATGATGGCAACTAATGATAGATGAGTAATATGTAAATATTGTCGACCATTTAAAATTTCACAGTGTCACATTTTGCCGTGTTATCATGGCATAAGTCAGTGGTTTTTCAGTCGTTTTTTAACCATCTGATTCTGCAGACCCATTAAGTCCCATGAGATCCTGGCACCGGAGAAAGGCCGTGAGGTGGCGAAGGAGCTGGGCGTGCCGTACTACGAGACCAGCGTCGTGGCGCAGTTCGGGGTGAAGGACGTCTTTGACAACGCGATCCGTGCTGCTCTCATCTCACGGCGCCACCTGCAGTTCTGGAAGTCGCACCTCCGTAACGTCCAGCGGCCTCTGCTGCAGGCACCCTTCCTGCCTCCCAAGCCCCCGCCCCCTATAATCACTGTTCCCCCTGCACCGTCCACCGCTGAGGAGCACCCCGGCCGGCTGCTGGAGGACCCACTGTGCGCCGATGTCATCCTGGTCCTGCAGGAGCAGCATCGCATCTTCGCCCACAAGATCTACCTGGCCACCGCCTCATCCAAATTCTACGACCTCTTCCTCATGGACCTGAGTGCAGAGGCACAGGAGGAGGAACATGAGGAGAAGAAGGAGGTGCTGCCTCGGGGCCCATCCCTCCACTGCCGGGAACCCCCGGTGCGGGCTGCCAGCTTCGACGTGCGGGACAGCGGTGAGGAGGGCACCCGGGCCGGGCCCCGGGGTTGCACCAGCGACGGTGCGCTGAAAGGGGGCGATTCGGAAGTGTGCCTCAGGGGTCGCCTGCTGTCCACCTGGAGCCGGGCGTTCGTGAGCATCCAGGAGGACCTGGTGGACGACCCAGTTACCTACGCGCCGCGGCTCATGACGGTGGTGCACTTGGATTCCTCAGTGCTGCTGGGCCCCTTCCGGGCAGTTTTGCGATACCTCTACACGGGTGAGCTGGACGTGCACGAGAAGGAGCTCATGCACATCGCGCACATCGCCGAGCTGCTCGAGGTGTTCGACCTGCGCATGATGGTCGCCAACATCCTCAACAATGAGGCCTTCATGAACCAGGAGATCACCAAAGCCTTCCATGTGCGCCGCACCAACAGGGTGAAGGAATGCCTGGCCAAGGGCACCTTCTCAGGTAACGCCAACGCAGGTGACTCGCTCTGTGCAGAAGACCTTGTTGCCTGGGCCATAGAGCCCAGCAGCCCTAAAATTGGAAGGTCGATCTTCTCTATATGGAATTACGGTGTCTTTTTCTTTTGGCAGTCGCCCTGTCGAGTCTTGGTTGCGGTTCCATTAAGTGGCATCCCTCTGTGTTTCAGATGTGATGTTCAAAGTGGACGATGGTACCATCCCGGCCCACAAGCCACTGCTCATTTCCAGCTGTGACTGGATGGCAGCCATGTTTGGGGGGCCCTTTGTGGAGAGCTGCACCAAGGAGGTGAGTAATTATCAGAGTCGGGTAATTCAGGTCCAGAGAGTAAAAGTCCAGACCGGGATTTTGTTTCAACCAACTTGTTGAGCATAAAGAGTCACACTCACAGAGTACTCAACTGGTTGGTTGAAACTAAATCCTGGTCTGGACTTTTACTCTCTGGACCTGAATTACCCAACTCTGGCGATTTATGACTGCTTATGACTTATGTTGAAGAAAATAATGGTGGTGAGGAGGATAATTCATGCATATTTAAATCTGGAGTATGTGAGACTCAAAGTAAAAGCAGTGGTTTGTGTGGTTTACTTCAGGTGCTTTTCCCCAACACCACACGCAGCTGCATGCGTGCAGTGATGCAGTACCTATACACTGGGCGCTTCTGCTCGCGGCCAGACCTCGACGCCATGGAGCTCATCATTCTAGCCAACCGCCTCTGCCTCCCTCACCTTGTGGCTCTTACAGGTAGCCCCATGTTCTCACTTCTTCACGTCCTACAGCGTCAGCCAGACAATTGTGACCTGATTGATTATGAAGCACACTGGTGTGATTCAATGTACATTTTGTTTATGAGCTGATGGTTTTTTCCCCTATTTATACAATTCAAAGACACGTTCAGTACCAGTCAAAGTCTGGACACACCTACTGAAAATCATTTGCTTTTCAACAAGATAGCGACCCTAAGCAGACCTTGAGGTTATGTAAGTACTGTGTTTATCTTATGAATAAGGAAAGAGATGGAGCGCTGTGACAGATGACCTGGCCCCCACAATCCCCCGACCTAAACCCTATTCAGCTGGTTTGGGATGAGTTTGATCGAAGAGTAAGAGCAAGGTAGCCAATCTGTGCCCAGAATCAGTGGAAACTCCTTCAGGATGTTGGAGAAGCGTTCCAGGTGGTTACATGTGGAAGCTGGTTGAAGGAATGGCAAGAGTCTGCGATGCTGTCATCAAAGCGAAAGGGGGATATTTTGAAGAGTTGAAATATGATAAAATTCTGAGATGTTGAACACTTCTCTTGGTCCTAGCAATATTCGATATATAGTACTTCATTGCCTCGAGGCCTTTTACTGTAAGGTGAATAAAAGAGCGAAAATAGAGACAAATGCAATAATAGCAGGTGTATCCAGACTTTTGATGGGTACTGTAGTGTGTGTCTGTTTGTGTGTGCGCGAGCGTGTGCATGAAGGACTGGCATCCCGTCCAGGGTGTCCCCTGCCCCGTGCCCTGTGATGGACAGGTAACCCGTCCAGGGTGTCCCCCTGCCCCGTGCCCTGTGATGGACTGGCATCCCGTCCAGGGTGTCCCCTGCCCCGTGCCCTGTGATGGACTGGCATCCTGTCGAGGGTGTCCCTTGCCCCGTGCCCTGTGACGGACTGGCATCCCGTCCAGGGTGTCCCCTGCCCCGTGCCCTGTGACGGACTGGCATCCCGTCCAGGGTGTCCCCTGCCCTGTGCCCTGTGATGGACTGGCATCTCGTCCAGGGTGTCCCTTGCCCCGTGCCCTGTGATGGACTGGCATCCTGTCCAGGGTGTCCCCTGCCTTGTACCGTCTACTTCCTGATTCTGGCCTCAGGTTCCCCGTTACACTGTACCAGATAAACATTTGTAAAATAGGTGGATGGGTGGATAATTAGTTACCTTGACATTAGTGCAGGTTTGACGTTCACATTCTTTATCAATGTCTAGCTCTGTTCACAGCCTCCTTCCTGCCCACTGCCACCATTACCTGTATGTTGAACAGTAGATGTAGATCAGTATCCCTGGACAAACATCCTGTCCCGGTCCCTCTGCTTTACACAGTAGCGGAGTTCTGCACAAACCCTCGTCTGGGAGAGCCCTGGTCTAGCAGGAAGCTCAGTGCATGCTTCCTGAAGCCCAGTAGGCTTCTGATCTGTTCACCTTTGGCATCTCCAGCAGCTTTCCTTGATGCTGTAACTGCAGCTCTGCCTCATGGTTCAGTACATACAGCCTTGGTGTATAGAGCTCCTGTCCAGCCTGACAGTGATCCCTTCCAGGAAGATCGGAGACACCTGAATGCTGATAAATGAGCTACTGTTCTCATGGACAGAAGGAGTCAATGTCTTGTTTACACCGTGATGCTTGAATCACACTCTAGCTGTAATCAAACTAATTTGCACATAATTTGAATAATCACTTCCTGCTGTCAGGCTTGCTCTCAATAATAGTTAACAATAGTCAGCCACTAGCAGATGTCTGCAGCCTATCAGAAACGGGCTGTTATTGGTATTGTGTAAAACCAGATTGTGAGATGCTTTCCAGGGCTCTGTTTATGGTGGAGCTCCTGGGAAATGGACCGGCGTTTCGTGGAGTGAACCTTTAGCTCTCATTTTAGCTCTGAATCTTCTCAGCCTGCAAGCTCTTCAGAGTTAGAGAGTGGATCAGAAGACCTCAGGGTTTTAGCAGAGCTGACACAACGGGATACCTGTCAGGCTGGGCCAGGATACCTGTCAGGCTGGGCCGGGATACCTGTCAGGCTGGGCCGGGATACCTGTCAGGCTGGGCCGGGATACCT